TTAGTTGTGGTTTTTCACTCAGATGTCACCTCTTGTTCATGCCACTCTGATACCAGAGGATTTTTTTTAGGATGGATAGCATTTGAATCTTACATTCATCCCAAGCTCAACAGAGAGGATGAACTGAGGGACTTCAAATGATAAAAATGTACTCCCTCAAGCAGAGTGTTGGTGGCTCATGCCTATAATTTTGGCTACTCAGGAAGCTGAGATCTAAGGATCTCAGTTCTAAGCCAGCCTGAGCAGGAAAATCCATGAAACTCTTATCACCAATTAATCACTTTAAAAAAGAATAAAAGCCAGAAGTAGACTTGGCTCAAGTGGTAAATGGTTAGCATTGAAACCAAAAGCTCAAGGACAGTGCCCAGACCCTGAATTAAGCCCTACAACCACATTTGGACACATACATAGCACTTCTCAGTTATGAGAGTGGAAGGGCCATGCTTCCTATGGAGGACCTACAAAGAGGATCTTTATTGTCCCTTCCAGCTTCTAGTAGCTGCTGGTGGTTCTTGGCATGGGTGTTTAGTTCGAAATGTGCCTCTTAGAAGGACATCAGCCATTGGAGCAGGGTCCGCTGTCATCCAGGGTAACATTAATTACCTTAACTAACAACATCTGCAGAACACAAACTCTCCCCCAGTTCCACATGATTTCTCTTGAGGGCTTTCTGAGGGTTTGGGTTTTTGGGGTTTTTTTGGACATGGGGCTGGGTGCTATCCCTGAGCTTTTTTGCTCAAGGCTAGTTCTCTACCATTTTGAGCCACAATGTCACTTCCAGTTTTCTGGTGGTTAATTAGAGATAAAAGTCTACAGACTTTCCTGCCCAGGCTGGCTTCAAACTACAATCTTCAGGTCTCAGCCTCCTGAGTAGCTAGGATTACAGGCATGAGCCACTGGCGCCTGGCCATCCCTGAGAGTTTGTTTGTTTTTTGTCAGTCGTGGGGCCTGAACTCTGGGTCTGGGCGCTGTCCCTCAGCTCTTCAGCTCAAAGCTAGTACTCTACCACTAGAGCCACAGGCACCACTTCCAGCTTTTTCTGCTTATGTGGTGCTGAGGAATCAAACCCAGGGCCTCATGCATGCAAGGTAAGCACACTGAGCCACCTTCCCAGCCCTCCCTGAGGTTTTGTTGTTTCATGCAGTGCTGGGGATTCAGGCCAGGCAAACATTCACCATTGAGCCACTTGAAGCTGCACATTCTTTTCTAGCATAAAGTGAGCAGTGGCTGGAATATGCAAAGTGTCTTCACTAAGACACTTGTTGGACAATGGAGACAGGGGCAATCTGGCATAGGCAAGGAGAACTGGGGGGGAATGCCCGGGGGGATTCAGCTGCTAAGATGCCAAAAATAGCCACCTGGCAGACGGGACCTGCAGCCATGCAGAAGAGACCAGGGCAGCACCATCCAGCTGCCATCTGGCTCGCCCTCTTTTTCAACTCCCAGGGTCTGGGCAGAGGCCAAGCAGGACTAGGGAGGAACAGGACCAGCAGAGAGATAGTATCAAAGATACTACATGAGGACCTAAGTCATAGTTGAGTGTGAATGTGTGTGTGTGAGTGTATGTGTGAGTGTGTGTGTGTGTGTGTGTTGTGGATTGAACTCAGAGCCTGTGCATTATCCTTTAGCTTTTTCTACTCTAGGCTGTCACTTGAGCTATTATCTCCACTTCTAGCTTTTTGGTGTTTAATTGAAAAGTCTCAGACTTTTCTACCTTGGCTGGCTTTAAACCACAATCTAATCACAGCTTCCTGAGTAGCTAGGATTACAGGCGTGATCCACTGTCTCCTGGCCTGTCATGTTGACAGCTGAGCCTTCTAGCTACTGCAGCCTCATGCTTTCTGCCCCCAGGACCCTTACACCAAATACTCCATCTTCATCTTCATCCACAGCTCACTCTACTTAAGGGCCTTTGCACCGCTATTTTCTCAGCTTGGAGCTCCCTTTACACAGCCAGCCATTGTAAATCCCTGATTTCCCAAGCATCCTCAACAAAGCATCACAAATTGGATTGATACAAGAGTAAAAATGTCTGCTTTCATAGTGCTGAGGCCAGAAGTCTAATATTAGGGCCACAGTCTTCCATCTAGAGTCTCTGTAAGGGTGGTTCCCGCATCTTTCAGTATTTGGAGCTCCTGGGTCCTTCCTGCCTCTGGAAGGTCCTTCCTACCTCTTCCAGCTTCTGGGGGCACCAAGTATCCCTTGACCTCTGACCAAATTACTCCAGTTCCAAATTACTCCCTGCTTCCATCTCCAATCAGCTTTATTCCCAAATTTCCATCATGTGTTTGTGTGCCCATACCAGGGCTTGAACTCTGGATTTCACACTTTCTTGCTTCTGGCTGGTGTTTTTACCATTTGAGTCATGTTTCCAGCCTAGTATGGAGTCTTGAGGACTTTTCTGTCCGAGGCTGACTTCACACCTCCATCCTTTAGGTCCCAGCATCCTGAGTAGCTAGGATTTCAGGCATGAGCTACTGGCACCTGGCTCAAATGTCCATCTTGGTATAATGATCCAGTCACTGGACAAAGGCCACCTTCAACCATCACGTTAGTGTATTGTGGTCACATCAGGAAAGACTAGAGAACAAGCTCAAATGTATTATTATGACCTTTGACTTTGTTACACCATACCAGTGTTCCTCAAATCTCAGCCCATTTTTATCTAGAACACTGATGGTTACCAAGTAGAACTGTGTACCCTGCATAGTTCTTAGCTCAGCGGTAACAGCCATGTGAAAGAAGAAGGCATTGGAGACCTGACAATCCATGGGAAGAGACAATCAATCATCAGGCTTCAGACACTTTTTATTTGTGTACATGTGCACGCACTCATGTGCTAATGCTGGGGCTTGAACACAGCCTTGGGCTCTCACTTAGCTTTTGCACTCAAGGCTGGTGCTCAACCACTTGACCCATACCCCTCCACTTTCAGCTTTTTACTAGTTAGTTAGAAATGAGTCTCACAGACTTTTCTTTCTTTCCTTTTCTTTTCTTCTTTCTTTTTTGTCAGTCATGTGACTTGAACTCAGGGACTGGGCGCTATACCTGATTTTTTTTGCTTAAGTCTAGTGCCCTGCCACTTTGAGCCACAGCACCACTTCCAGATTTCTGGTGGTTAACTGGAGATAAGAGTCTTAAGGTCTTCCCTTCCTGGGCTGGCTTCAAACCATGATCTTCAGATCTCAGACTCCTAAGTGGCTAGAGTTACAGGTGTGAGCCACTGGCACCCAGCTGGTGATGTTCTTATTGAGATAAGGTTAACACAACATGAAGCTAGACATTGGTTGCTCATGCCTGCTATCCTAGCTACTCAGGAGGCTGAGATCTAAGGATTTCAATTAGAAACCAGCCCAAGCAGGAAAGACTATGAGACTCTTATCTACAATTAAACATTAAGCCACTGTGGAGGAGCTAGGAATGTGGCTTAGTGCTGGAGTGTTTGTCTAGCATGCATGAAGCCCTGAGTTCCATTCCTCAATACCACATACACAGAAAAAGCCAGAAGTGGCATTGTGGCTCAAGTGTAGAGTGCTAGCCTTGAGCAAAAGAAGCTCAGGGACAGTGCCCAGACCCTGAGTTCAAGCCCCAGGGCTGGCAAAAAAAAGGCATTGGTGGAGGCATGGCTCAAGTAGTAAAGGGCAAGCCTTCAGTGGAATGAGTTAAAGGATAGTTCCTAAGCCCTATGTTCAAGGCCCAGTACTCACACACACACACACACACACACACACACACACACGCACACACACACAAATATTCACACAACACATAACTGGCTGTTTGAAAATGTGTGCTTTGGTGGCTTTTAGTACATTCACAAGGTTGTATCACCACCACCTCTGTCTCATCTCCACAAAAGGTCCTTTCTCATGAGCAGTCACCCAATCCCCTATGGACCCCTAGCATCTAGGGATCCACTTTCTGCATACAGATTTGCCTGTTCTGGACATTCCTATCAATAGAGCCACATAGTGTGGGACTTTTTTATTGTGTTTTTTTTTGGGGGGGTCCGGTCGTGGGGCCTGAACTCTGGGCCTGGGCACTGTCCCTCAGCTCTTCAGCTCTAAGGCTAGCGCTCTACCACTAGAGCCACAGCGCCACTTCCGGCTTTTTTCTTTTTGCTCATGTGGTGCTGAGGAATCGAACCCAGGACCTCATGCATGCAAGGTAAGCGCTCTACCACTGAGCCACCTTCCCAGCCCCGGACTTTTTTATTGTTTTGTTTTGTACTGGTTGTTACATATTACTGGTTGTGATAGGTGTCAGAGCCTCCCCACCTTTTTTTTGTCCATTGTGGGGCTTGAACTCTGGGCCTGGGCATTGTCCCTCAGCTCTTCAGCTCAAGGCTAGTGCTCTACCACTTGAGCCACAGTGCCACTTCCAGCTTTTTCTGTTTTTGTGGTGCTGAGGAATCGAACCCACGGCCTCATGCATGTGGGGTAAGCACTCTACCACTGAGGCACCTTCCCAGCCCCCTCCCCACCTTTTCACTGTTAGTAATACTGCTATGTGAATATCTATATATAGATTTCTTTGGGGTTCTTTTGTTTTTGCTCTTTTTCCTTTATTTCTCTCCTTCTCTCTTCTTTTTTTCCTTCTCTCAGTGCCAGACCTGGAGCTTGAACTCAGGGTCTGGGCTCTGTCCCTTAGCTTTTTCACTCAAGTCTAGTGCTCTACCACTTGAGCCATAGCTCTACTTCTGCCTTTTATAGGTGGTTAATTGGAAATGTTGGTTAATTTTTTCATTTTAATTTTTTGGTGGGTAATTGGAAAGTCTCACTTTCCTGCGCAGGCTGGTTTGGAACCACAATCCTCAGATCTCAGCCTCTTGAGTAGCTAGGATTACAGGCATCAGCCTATATACAGTATTGTATAAGGCACCAGGTGGATATTGGGATGGATAGGATTGAGGCGGTGAGGGGGGGAGGGGTAGAGCTGAGGGGGGGGGGGGAAGATTAGGAAGGAGGCGGTCTGAGAGTCAGGTGCTGATGTTGCCCTGCCTCGACCTACCAGGTGCGCATGAGGATGGTGGCAAGGCCCTAGGCCCAAGCTCCGCACCATGACCTGCTGGTTGCGCATGCTCAGCCTGCACATGCTGCTGCTGCCCGCGGCGCCACCCCCAGCCGGGGGCTGCCCGGCCCGCTGCGAGTGCGCAGCCCCCACGCGCTCCGTGGCCTGCGCGCGTCGCCGCCTGACCACCATACCCGACGGCATCCCCGCCGAGACACGCTTGTTGGAGCTGAGCCGAAACCGCATCCGCTGCCTGAACCCGGGCGACCTGGCCGCGCTCCCCGCCCTGGAGGAGCTAGATTTGAGCCAAAACGTCATCGCGCACGTGGAGCCCGGTGCCTTCGCCGACCTGCCGCGTCTGCGCGTGCTCCGTCTCCGTGGCAACCAGCTCAAGCTCATCCCGCCCGGGGTCTTCACGCGCCTGGACAACCTCACACTGCTGGATCTGAGCGAGAACAAGCTGGTCATCCTGCTGGACTACACGTTCCAAGACCTGCACAGCTTGCGGAGGCTCGAGGTTGGTGACAACGACCTGGTGTTCATCTCGCGTCGGGCTTTCGCCGGTTTGCTGGCGCTTGAGGAGTTGACCTTAGAGCGCTGCAATCTCACGGCCCTATCCGGAGAATCGCTGGGCCATCTGCGGGGTCTGGGGGCCCTGCGCCTGCGACACCTGGCCATCGCTGCCTTGGAGGACCAAAACTTCCAGAAGCTTCCAGGACTGCTGCACTTGGAGATCGATAACTGGCCGCTGTTGGAGGAAGTAGCCGCAGGCAGTCTGCAGGGTCTCAACCTGACGTCGCTGTCGGTCACCCACACCAACATCACTGCCGTACCGGCAGCTGCACTCCGACACCAGGCACACCTGACCTGCCTCAACCTGTCACACAACCCAATCAGCACGGTGCCACGCGGATCCTTTCGGGACCTAGTGCGCCTGCGCGAGCTGCACCTAGCTGGGGCCCTGTTGGCTGTGGTGGAACCACAAGCATTCTTGGGGCTTCGCCAGATCCGCTTGCTCAACCTCTCCAACAACATGCTCTCCACCCTAGAGGAGAGTACTTTCCACTCGGTCAACACGCTAGAGACGCTGCGCGTGGACGGGAACCCACTGGCCTGCGACTGTCGCCTGCTGTGGATCGTGCAACGTCGCAAAACCCTCAACTTCGACGGGCGGCTGCCGGCCTGCGCCACCCCAGCCGAGGTGCGCGGTGATGCACTGCGCAACTTGCCCGATTCGGTGTTGTTTGAATATTTCGTCTGCCGGAAGCCCAAGATCCGCGAGCGCCGCCTGCAGCACATCACAGCCACGGCTGGCGACGACGTGCGCTTTCTGTGCCGCGCCGAGGGCGAGCCCGCGCCCACCGTAGCTTGGGTGACACCCCAGCACCGGGCAGTGACGATCGCCAGCCCGGGCCGTGCACGCGTGCTGCTCGGCGGGACCCTGGAGATCCTGGACACGCGGCCACAGGACAGCGGCACCTACACATGCGTGGCCAGTAATGCGGGTGGCAACGACACCTACTTCGCCACCCTGACCGTGCAGCCCGAGCCGGCCACCAACCGGACCCCGGGTGAGGGTCACAACGAGACACTGTTGGCCACACGATTCCCACTGGACCTCACAACCATCCTGGTGTCCACGGCCATGGGCTGTATCACTTTCCTGGGCGTGGTGCTCTTCTGCTTCGTGCTGCTGTTCGTGTGGAGTCGTGGCCGTGGACAACACAAGAATAACTTCTCCGTGGAGTACTCCTTCCGAAAAGCCGACGGGCCTGCAGCCGCCGCCGGCCAAGGTGGCGCTCGGAAGTTCAACATGAAGATGATCTAAGCGCCCACCACTACCACCCACCTTCCCTCTCCGCCCCCACTGTCCCTGGGGAGGAGGTAGGGGAGCCAGCACCTGCTGATTTCCACCTATGCATTTCCTGCAGGCTGGGGGGAAGGGGAAGGTGCCGCAGCAAGCCTGCTCTCCAGCAAAACTTCCCCCTTTATGGTTTTTGTAGAAAGGACTCCTTTTCATCACAACGCATCTTTTGCAGTTTCTCAAGTGTTTTCTAAAGGTTTCATCCTGTCTTTCTGCCCCTGCTATATTATAGGTCGCTGGAATGGAGGGTGGAAGGATTTAGGGGTAAAGGGATGGAGAGTGGGCTTCCTTCTACACATTGGCTAGGGGCTCAGAGCTCAAGAGTTCCCCCCTCTCCCCCCTCCTACCCCCCCCCCATGTTTCCATTCAAAGCCAGGAGGTTGTATGTCCTGGCTCCCACCTTCCCTGTCCACACCCAAGTCTCCCATGGGGAAATGGTCTGCTCCCGAAACCCAGGAGGGGACCCCCAGCCTGAGGGAGCACACAGGAATGTCTGCACTGTTCACACCTGTGTGCCCCTGAGCTCACACTCAGGGTTCACACTTGCTCACAACCTGGCACACAAGACCTATTACTCAGAGATGGACCTCGCCTTCCCCGCTCTCCCCCAAGTTGACCCTACAACCAGGGCAGGGCACTGGAGCCCTTATGAGCAAACACAGCTCATACCCAGGACCTGCTGAGCCCACACCACAGATACATTCAGCTCACACCCAGACACAGCTAAGCAGCAGGTGACCTCCCACAGACCTAAGGGCTGGCCAGATTTTGCTGAGCAGGTCAGACACACAACTGAAGCCAAGCACACACCAGTGCTCCTTGTTGTGGGTCTCCACACATTATCCTCCATTTTCCCTCCCCTCTGGCCCAAAGGGGCTGTCCACTAAGAGAAACCATGTCCCACAGTCTCACAGCAGACCTAGCTGCCACAGGCTCCCTGTGGGCCACTCTGAGATCTGGGTTATCTTTTAAGCAAGCCAGCTTGGACAGCCTAAGTGTGGCCTCCTTTTGGACACCCAGATGGGGAAAGATGGCAAGTAGGCTGGCACTCAAAGTCATTTCCATGTACCCTCCAGGGGCAGTAATGAACAACCAGACCAAACAAAGGTTTTGTGTCCCTTAGGGAGGCCTAGATCCCCAATCACTCTAGGAAAGCCACAGAGGATCTGAGTCTACAACTTTAGGGCCTCAGACTTAGGATCAGCTTGGAGATTCCAGGCCAGAGTGAAGCAGAAAGCCACTCCTCCATGATCCCTGTCTCTCTGTCTGGTGCTCAGTAGGTGGTGAGCACCCATTGCAGGGGAGAACAAACAGGAATGATCCTATCCAGAGGGATTCCAGCACCCAACAAGGCCTGGCCACAACCCGGCCTTCCCCTACCTTGTTCTTGCCCCACTCTTCATGTTGGCCAGATGACAGGACACTGTTGAAGGAAGAGGCATGGGAAACTTTGTGCAGCTTGATTTCAGCCTAAAAAGGGCTTGGGTGTTGACCAGAAGGGGAGGACAGGCTCCCCAAGGATGTTGTAAGAAGAGCTTGGAGCCAGCTCTACTTCCTCCCACCCAGCAGCGTGATCTGAGGACCACCTTGTATCCTCCTGTAGACACAAGGTTTGAAAGTCTAGCCTTTGCCCAATACTCCCAGGCCAGGCCTACAAATGAGCTTTTTGACTCAATTTGGATCCAGACCCTTCAAAGTTCTGACCAGAGAGATAACTATCTTAAGGTAAAAGACTGAGATAGAGCTTGGTGCAGGAGAACATGGGGAACCTCAGTCTTGCCCTTGATATACAGATGGATAGCAGGACATGAGTGAGGGGTGGAGACTATAACCCCAGACCCCACCCCTGAGCCTGGCAGAACTCACCACTCTGGTCCCTCAGCATCCTCCTGACCCTCAGTTGCCATGACAACCCTGAGGGCCTTCCAAAATGACATCCAAGTGCCTTTAGCATCACTAAAAGACAGGAGGAGATGCTTTTCCAGCAGTGTAGGGGTCTACAGAGTATCAGTCCATTTGGAATTTCGCTGCCCCTCCCTCCCCCCAACCCTCTCACTTCCCCATCCTGCTGTGTTTGATTGGAATCAAATAAAATTGAAACTGATTTAATAACCAACTTCAGACTATTTTTCATACCCATGGGAGAAGTACATGAGCATGAGGCAGGGGTTGCCAGGTCTCTGGGGAGAGTTCTGTTACCAAAGCAGACCTAGAGAGTGACATGTCATGATGACATCACATCTCACACTTGAGGAGCAGCCATATCATTCCTAGCATGTTTGGGGTTTTTTTTTGTTTGTTTGGTCGGTCATGGGGCCTGAACTCTGGGCCTGAGCTCAGTCCCTCAGCTCTTCAGCTCAAGTCTAGGGCCCTACCACTTGAGCCACAGTGCCACTTCTGGCTTTTTTTTTTTTTTTTTGCTTATGTGGTACTGAGGAATCAAACCCAGGGCCTCATGCATGCAAGGCAAGCGCTCTACCACTGAGCCACCTTCCCAGCCATCCTAGCATGGTTTCTGGGTACTGACAACAGGTTCTCCTGGTGTTTCAGTTTTGAAGATTCTGGGACTGAACAGGGGACATGGCCAAGCAGAAGGGGAACTGCTTCTTTAGGAAGTGAAAACCCAGAACAAAGAGCCTGGTTGCATTTTTCTTTGAACAGACATGACTAGAGTTTTCTGTGTGTGTGTGTGTGTGTGTGTGTGTGTGTGTGTGCATGTGCACAGGCACACACGCGTGTGCCAGTCCTGGGGCTTTGAACTTGGGGCCTGTGCTCTGTCCCTAAGCCTTTTTTTTTTTTTTTGCCAGTCCTGGGGCTAGAACTCAGGGCCTGGACGCTGTCCCTGAGCTTCTTTTTGCTCAAGGCTAGCACTCTACCACTTGAGCCACAGCACCATTTACAGCTTTTTCTGTTTATGTGGTACTGAGGAATCAAACCCAGGGCTTCATGCATGCTAGGCAAGCACTCTACCATTAGGCCATATTCCCAGCCCCACTTTGGGCTTTTTGGAGGTTAATTGGAGAGTCTCATGGACTTTTCTGGGCTGGGTTCAAAGTGTGATCCTCTGATCTCAGCCTTCTGATTAGCTAGGATTACAGGTGTGAGCCACTGGTACCTGGCCCACTGGAGTTTTCTACCCTCCACTAAGATGAAGAAGCCAAATATGTCCCACTTCCCAGTCTCACAGGGGGCTCCCCATGACCACTTACCCTGACACAGCCTCTGAAAATTTAGCTCATCTCTTTATCCATCCCTCCCATCCCATCCCACCCCGCCCATGCTCCTACCCCTGCCACACACACAGCTTTTAGCTCCACCAGTCCGTAATAGTGGCTTCTTTCTAGTATGCATTCCTGTCCCCCTCCTGTCTTCTGAGGGCAGGGGGAGGGGCTCCCAGCCCACTGATGGGAAGTGATACCCAAAGATTTCAAACCCACCATGGGGCCTGGCCTGCATTCTAATAGTTCCCTAGCATTTCCTGTTGGGCTGCTGGCCCCAATTAGATACATCCTAGGAAGCTGGGGCCTGCAACTACAGGGACTTTGCCCTCAGAGACTCTCCTCTCAGAGGTCACTCTGGTCTGAAGGCAGGGGAGACCAAGAGGAGGCTGGGCAGCAATAATAACTGTATTGTTGGGGTCCAAGTTGGGGAGGTTCCTTCAGTGCCTGCTTGGCTTGCTGGTGAGGGCTGAGTGCCTATTGACTAGGCTCAATAGTGGCTTCCTTTGGAATGTCCGTGTCCAGCTGTCCCCAAGATGTCTTATAGGTTGGATATTCTATCCCCATCCCAAAAGTACAGTGGATCCTTCCCCTTAGTGATTGACAGGTAACATACAGAGAGGGCTGGGTGCTGGGTGCTGCTCAGTGGTAGAGTGCTTGCCTAGGATGCATGAAACCCTGGGTTCAATTCCTCAGTACCACATAAACAGAAAAAGCCAGAAGTGGCACCATGGCTCAAGTGGTAGAGTGCTAGTCTTGAGAAAAAGAAGCTCAAGTACAGTGCCCAGATCCTGAGTTCAAGCCCCAGGACTGGCCAAAAGAAAAAAAAGCTGGAAGTATTGGTGTGGCTCAAATGGTAGAGTACTAGCTTTGATTTTTTTTTTTTTCCTGGCCTCCTCTACAAATTGAGGGTGACCTCCTTCCCTGGAGAACACCAAGTATTTGCATATTTAATTACATTTCTTTTAAGGATGGAAGATCCGGAGCAAGATGGAGTCACATGTAAAGCATCCATGCCCCATGTGTCTGCAACGCCATCTCTCCCTCCACAGGGGAGGTCCATGCCCACCTACTGGCTTCCAAGGCCTACCGACCTGGAACTCCTGGTCACTCTCCTCAGATCCACGGTCCTTGTCCCCACCCCTACTGAAAAAGACCCCCACTTGGACCCTGTTTCTGCCTACTCACAGAGTCCCCATTTGGGGCCCACCAAGACAGCCTCAAGACCCCCACCTGAGCTCCCACAGTGCGGATGACAGCCAGGCCAAGGTGACATCCACCTGTCCCCCTGAAGAGCTGGCTTTCATCACACTTGATGATGCACTAGGCCCCTTCCTCCTAATTCTGCATAGTCCTGAGGCCATGCATGCTATGTTAGCTGCCTGGCAGCTAGTGCCCTTCATGCCATCCACTCGTAGCTCCATGCACGGCTCACCAGTAGCTGCCCTGGGCCTTGTCATACCAACTCTGGCTTCCACCTGCTGAACAGCACGCCTTGTACAGGGAGCAAGAATGCACTCTATTACTGATTGGTGTGTGTGGATGAGGATGTATGGCACATGCTTGCCACCACAGTGAGGCCAGCAGGGTCAGGCTGGTCACATTACCCTTCTTCCAGATGTCCCCAACTGTCCATCTTATTGTTCGTTTGTTTATTGTGCTGGTACTGGAGCTTGAACCCAAGGACTTAATCTTTCACTTGGTTTTTTTGCTCAAGGCTGGCATTCTAACACTTGGCCACAGCTT